TCTGTCCCCGGCCCTGCTGCTGCAGCTATGAGGGGTATCTATGCGCGTCATACTCTACTACAAGAATATTCAAATGCTTCTCATGCTGGTCTTCCACCTATTGATCGAGGCGTTACAAGGAATGAGACTACAGGACTTCCTACTCATTATACAACAAAAGGGGGACGTCTTGGATCACAAACTTCAAGTTCTACACCTACAAGAGCTTCAAAGATGGCTCAGGACACTGCAGTGGCGGACAAGGGACCTAAAGTGACTCCTGGATATGTGGGAGGAGTGAGTGCTTGTTCTGTCTGTCTGTTCTGGTCCAAGATCATGAGTGTCCATTGATCTGCAGGTCATTTATGTCCCCTTCGCTGATCCACTTTGTACTGAGGCCCCCCTGGACTGAAGACAAGTGGGGAACTTCTTTATAACTTCTGTGAGGACGAGGGATACATTGCTTTTCCTTCTTTCAAAAAGAACATGACCGGAGATGATGTGTCTTGCAAAGTGGAAGCTGCTTTTAGTGGTGTGCATGTCTTCCCCACGAATGGCTTTATGTGAGCAAATTCCACTTGAATTTCACACGTTTTCCTCTGTCTCTTTCTGTCTTTATGAATAAAAGTTATTTATCTGACTCACAGGTGGGTTCTCCATGGAAAGTTGAATGATACACTGCGTCCCCGAAGCCTAGGGAACAGTATGACTGCAGGACACCTCCTCGAATTCTTCAAAAAACCAAAATCGAGCCATTGTCACGGTCAATGACTCAGCTCCTGACTCTGATGATCTTGATGTGGTGGCCAAAATATATTCCTAGATGATTGGGAAGATCTTGCCAAGGCCAATGGTGTGGATGTCCCTAAATCGAATGATCCCCCACGACCTGTCATTCAAGCCAAGAATTAGATGTAACTCTCATCCCCAACAAAGTTGGTGTGGTACCGCCGGGCGGGCACACTTTATACCCAGAGGGTTTGTAATCAACTTGTACTCTACTGTGGGATAAATCAATGTACGTAGACTATTAACTCATCGTCTTCTTGAACACACAACCATACACCGCAAGTGTCCATGAACAATGAGAAATCTTAACTCCCCCAGGCAGTAGAGTAATCGTGCTCGGTGCCTCGAACCGACTACATGATATTTAGCTTTTCCAACGATTACTCTCTCTCTCTCTCTCTCTCTCTCTCTCTCTCTCTCGTCCCAAGCTAGGAGGAACGAATGTACAATATACAGGTTATGAGGTATGAGGTATGAAACGGTATCAAGCGTGTGTGTTCGAAAGTGCTCCCCTGGGTTGTTTCATAGACCCGGTGACAATTCCATTTCTACTTTTTCTAGTTGTTTCCAAGACCTTTTACTTTTTTCTCCATCCATAACTAATAAACTCTCCCTTTCCCTATAGCTATCACACCCCGAGTCCAGTCCGAGTCGCACGATATGCTCTTCTCTCTCCGTTTGTCAGGTGTGGGTATCATTTGCATTTTGCATTTTTGGGATATAAAAAAGATGGTGTGATGGACACCAGCACTGAAACGAATGGAGAATCATTCCCTATACACACTCCACCATTCAGGCCAATATTTACCCATCGTACCCAATCCATACTCTACTTTCCACTTCCTGACCTCATCCATCGTCTTGCCTACGAGTTCACCTCGTATGTTAGCTCTGCGTATCATCCATCGTCTTACCTATGAGCTCACCTTTCACGTTGGCTTCGCGTATATGATCTTGAAGTTGAGTCCAAAGCTCTTGTTCAAGAACCGTGTTCCACTCGACTTGTACTCGGCCGCCTTGGCGGATAAACTTTCTAGCTAGTTTACCGTCGAAGAGTTCAAAAGGAGCGTTGATATAGATACCACGACCGTTATGCCATCTCGCACCCCCTGGAGCTTTTCGTCGATGGTCTCTAGGTTAACGATATGACCTCTGTTTTATGATATGACCTCTCTTTCATGCCATGTCCTTTCCCCTCTTTTCCAAGGTGTAGGTGTGTAGTAGGTGAAGAGTAGGTGTGTAGTAGGTGAAGAGTAGGTGTGTAGTAGGTGAAGAGTAGGTGAAGAGTAGGTGAAGAGTAGGTGAAGAGTAGGTGAAGAGTAGGTGAAGAGTAGGTGAAGAGTAGGTGAAGAGTAGGTGTGTAGTAGGTGAAGAGTAGGTGTGTAGTAGGTGAAAAGTAGGTGAAAAGTAGGTGAAGAGTAGGTGTAGGTGTAGTGGGTATAGGGGGGCAAGACGGCTCGACAAACGTTGCAAGATATCTCGACAAACATTGGACAAACAAGAAAGAACAAACTTGACAACTTACCAGTGATAATCTCCAAAGTGACTTTACGTTGTTCAAGTACCTCCCGGACCGATTCCCAAAACTCTCGGATCAGTTGGTCGGAAGGTAGGTTAAACCTGGCACAAGCTCGATACGATTGACAAAGCGTTTCGACTTTTCGGTTGAATTCTTTCAACTAATCAACGTTAGCCTTTTGGTAAACCTGCAATAAAAATTCACTGCCGACTGACCGCTAAACATTCAATCTTTACCCATCTACGTGATTCTGACTTTCTGTCCGCATCTATCCGATCTTCTACCATATCTTCTTCCGGTGGGTGAGAGAGAGTAGAAGGGAGAGCGACGTTTGCTTCCATATCTTCTTCCGGCGGGTGAGAGAGAGTAGAAGGGAGAGCGACGTTTGCTTCCATATCTTCTTCCGGCGGGTGAGAGAGAGTAGAAGGAAGAGCGACGTTTGCTTCCATATCTTCTCGCACAGTCATTTCAACCGCAGCAAAGTCCATATGTTGCCTCAAAGTCAAGTTCATATCTTCCCGTCGAGTTACCCGAGGCCCGGCACGAACAGCCCCGTTCCCGTTCAAATTAGGTGAAATGGTAGAAAGGCGAGTTCGAACAGTCGCCCGAGGCCGAGGGCCGACTCGAACAGCCCCGTTCTCGTTCAAATCAGGAGAAATGATAGAAAGGGGAGTACGAATCGTGTTCCCTGTAGTTTGGGTTCGAACATTGAGTCGAGTAGTTGAGATTACGTTCCTATCGATAAATTCTCCACCGGGTGTGGGTGTGGGTGTCGTCCTCGCTGTCGAACGAGCCCGAGCCGATCCGGGTTTGGTAGATTTGGGGAGAATGTTTTCTTTGTTGAGATAGTTTTTACGTTGGAGCTGGGTGTCATCAGAACAGGTTCTCGTGAAATATCTCTGAAAGAGGTGAATTAATTTCGGGTCATCTGAATAGGAAATATCGTTTCTGATACGAGTGCAGTAAGGGGCCTGCATCATAACGTCCTCGATGAAAGAAACAACGCCCAAAACTCGAGATCTGCCTAGCAGTCTCGAGCTCCCTTATGAGGCGTACCCTGACAGTTTCATATCTCTGAGAAGGTGATTCATGTCGGGTCATTTGATAGGGAAGAGCAACTGCGCGGTGGGCAGGGGGATGGTTGCATGTTAACAAGGAAGGTGAATGAATGGTGGATGAAGAAAATAAGAGGAGCAGTCTTGGATGGTGGATGAAGAACACAAGAAGAACAGTCTCGGTGGATGCAAGAAGAAAAAAGACGAGCAATCTTGAGACGGATTGAACAGACAAGAGGAACAGTTCTCGGTGAATGGTGAAAAGGATGAAGAATGAAGAAATAAAGACGCTCTCCAAAAGATCACTCACGAGGTTTAGACCAGTAGATTTAGATTTGGTACGACCTCTACGAGTAAAAGTGAGATCACGTCCGATGGTGTGGGTGACACCGAGGGGGGATACAGTCTGATCAGGCGGGATGGAGATGGGGATGTGGATGTTGATGTTGTTCATTTCGGTGAGATGAAGGGTTTATTTCAAAGATAAACACGACAACGGGGTTATCTCAAAGATAGAAAGAGAAAAGAGACAAAAAATAAAAACAGAGGGAGAGAGAATGTAAAAGAGAGAGAATGTAAACGAGTGAGAATGTAAAAGAGTGAGAATGTAAAAGAGTAAAGAGTGAAAAAGGTGTAAGAGTGAAGAGTGAAAAGGTGTAAGAGTGAAGAGTCGAAAAGGTGGTAAGACTCTTGAGACGAATTTATAACCAATCATCAACTCATCACTTAGTTGAAGCTCACCAACCCCACCAACCCTCCAACAACTCCAATCCATCAAACCATCAAAAAGCAATTGATGGACGTTGCTCGAGCCGTTTTCAAGATGGGCCCATTGTACCCTTTTTCTTTCTTTTGACGAAGAGAAAGGAACGGACCCTGAAGGGAAGGGGTGCTTGTGCTTTGGTGCTGGCTGCTTGATACGAACCCGTGTCCCGTACGAGCAGAGTATGTTTGTATATTTTTGGTAGTCTGTTGACGACCGGTACGACACACACCTCTGTAGTTCCCGTGGTTGGTGAAATGAGAATGTGAATGTTTGTTGGATTTTCTCGGTTCCCGATACACTTGATCGAATGCACGCACTCATCAACGTTTCAAGTCTTTAGGCTCGAGCTTGATTTTCGATTTTTGATTCTTGTCCAAGCTCGGATCGTAAAGAGACGAAAGGACCCAAGGCCCAAGGAAGGTTGGTCGACTACGAAAAAACATATGCCGGTGAATGGAAAAAAATATTTCCTCAACTAGGTCAGTGCTGAGCAATGTTGTGCGTGAAGAGATTTCGTGTTGTGCGCGCCAAGTTGGCTTTCTGATGAAGAGGGAATCTCCCGGTTTTGATCGAGTTGAGAAGGACATTCAATTGGAGGATGATATTCGATTGGAGAGCTGCTGGTTTAGAGGTCGAGCACGTGGGTTAATCGAGTTCGGAGTAGAGGGAGAGAAAACAAAACACCATGTGAGACCCGGGTCGGTTATAAAGTGAGAAGTGTACGAGTACTGCATAGCGTGAGATGAACGGATTTCAGTACAAACGATAGATGAGATGAATGAATCTAGTACAAACGATAGATGACGGAGGGAGGGGTGCGAAGAGGAAAGAGAGGACAAAAGTAAGAGAGATACCACCAAACGACCCTCACCCTCACCCTCACTTTCGAGATAATATCTCTAAACTTCCACCCGGTCCCATCCAACCTGCCAAAGGTTTCAAACCCCATCTGACCAATCTCTCTTCCCTGTCCAAGATGCGAAGGTGAGAGTTCTCAGGTCGTACCTCTGTCGCATGATCCAGAGATTCTCTCAAAACGTCTAAAACATCCACACACTGTCTTAACATTCCTGGATCGTCCCATGCGTGTTGGAGAGAATCAGGTGAGAGGAAATCACGTAAATGCTGTTGGATGGCCAATGGTAGATCTAAATCTTGACCCGCACGGTTGTGCCAACCTATCTTTGATCTTCCTTTACGTTTTGCTTATCCTGTCAGCGGGCGTTCGGTCTCGTTGAAGATGGCAAAGAGTTTGAAGCATTGTGGAATTCTTTTCCGTTCTCACGATCCGAGGAGATGAGGGAAAGGGGAGGGTGGAGATGGGGATAGGATGGAGACGATGAAGGAAAAGGATTCGCGAGAAAAAAATTCAAAAGACTGACAAGTGAGATCCGAAATAGCTTGTTCCACATAACCCTCGACGGTATCATAACGTTCCTTTAAAGCTTTGAAGAATAAATCTTTATTCCTATACCCCAAACCATCACCATCGGCTGGGAGAAAGATATCCTCTGAAGGTGCATCATCGCCAAGAGAACGAACATGTCTCAGTTGATTCCTCAACACGATGCCATAAGCTTTTTGGAATGAACAAAGTGATAGATTGACGTTTTGTAAAATGATCTTTTGCTCCGACCTTTTCCGTGTGGAATTCTTGATGGTCTCACGATACAGAGGTCGACGATGAGGAATCCCATGGTGAAGTGTGGTTTGTGGGAGGGCGGGGAGGAGATTCGGGTGGGAGGGAGAAGGATGATCGAGGCGAGGTTGCGAGGTTTGAAAGGGGGAAGCAGATGGTGACGAGCGAGGAGGATGATCCAAGGTCTAACGATCAGATACGGCTCGACGCTCAGTTTGATAAGAGGGGCAGTGAGAGAGGGAAGACTGACGATTGAGGGTGCAACAGGATCGAGATCAAGATCATGACCATGACTCAAGCCAAAAGGGAGACGACCAACTAAGCCTACGTGATCAGGAAACAAGGAGGACGATTGAACATGAGGGGAGCAAGTAGATGTAGCGAGGGTGACGAGTGGTCGAGGGGTAGAAAGCCTGTTACGGGCAGCGAGCATGACGTTGTACCTGGTGAGGTGACGATGACTATCATGACGTTGATGACGTCGGAGCAATGGCGAGCGAA